ACTCCACAGCAAGGCTCTTGGCTAAGATGTCTCTGAAAATCAGAGTTCTAAAGCAAAAAAGCCCAGATTCCCAGCTTGGGGCCAGGAGTGCATACCTAGTCTATCCCTGATTTTGGCTCAGAGCCCAGGTTGAGATGCTAAGCAGGAGGCCTCCAGTGTCTGGAATCCTTAATACATCACTCTGCATCTTGCTGCTCTTTCGCAAAACCAAGGTCATACCCCAGCACAGCCCTGTCTTTGCAGAGCCCTCTGTAAGCCCTGGGAGCTGGTCAAAGGGCCTTACCCCTCCCCAACCCTGCTCTGGCCCTCATCCCCACAAGGTATCTCAGTAAGCTTCCAGACCTTTCCTAGGAAGCAGTTCTGTATTTGTGGCAAAGGATGAACATGAGAGAAGGGCCTAGGCCCTGCTCCAGGTTCTGTATTACCATCCCCAACAACCCAGGGGTCCACCCGGTCTATTTGTGATGGGGGATGTGGGGGACCAGCTACCCCCAGCCCTCCCCTGGCCCTGGCACACATGGTCCATCAGGCTACACAGGAGCCCCAGAGCAGAGATGAACTCACTCCACCATGAGTTTGAGAAGCTGAGAAGCTTACCTGATGGGGACAGACAGGGGGGCACAGAGGTCAGCAAAGCCCTCCAGGTGGCATGAGGTGTGCCAGAGTGCAGGGAGAGGAGACAGATGGGGGGACGGAAAGAGAAAGACACACATACACACAGTAAGAAAGGCATGGAGAAAGAGAGGAGCTCAGAGAGGAATGGAGCAGCAGACAGAGGGAAACAACGCAGAAAGAAACTGAGAGCCAGAGCCAGAGTGTGGGGGAGCGTCGGAGGAAGAAATGAAAACACACACAGGTGGAGTCAGAACGACACAGGCAGAGAGGCACAGAGAGTCACAGCAATGAGACAGAAAGAGACACGCAGAAACTGAGAAACGGTGTCAGAGAAGACGGTAGCCTCTCTGCCCTCCACAAACACTTTGCCCCACTGGTCCTGGCTGGAAGCAGGGGACTCATAGGCCCTTGACCTCTATGCCCAGTAGGGGAAGAGACAGGGCTTTCCTCAGAGGCCGTAAATGAGACCCCATTCCCAAAAAGATGGGTCTGACACACAGCAACCATGGTATCCACGGCCCTCACTCCCACCCCTGGCACTGCTAGATGGGATCACGCCAAGGGTCTATGAGGAAGCCCCTAGGGCCCAGGGCCCATCCTCCCTGGTAAGACCAGATGACACTTCCAAATTTATCATGTTATTTCTGTCCTGAACTGGGCTGGGACAGGATGTTTCCTAAAGGATCGGGACTAGGACGGGGCGGGGGTGTCTGGCACAGGCCAGGCAGCTCTGGGCCCTTCTTCCCCCTCTGGTCAGAATAGACCAGCTGGAGACACCGCACCCCAACCCCCGCAGCAGGGCTACTCTTAGGGAAACAGGAACTGGGACTGCAGCTTCCACTGGAAGGAAATGGGGCCACCGGCAGACCAGGGGAAGCTATAAGAACTCATTTCGTCACAATGGGAGCAGTCCCTACTCTAGGCTGGGGACCAGAAGGGATGGAGCCCCTTCACTTTCAAAGGAAGAATGTTTGAGAAGTCAGGGCTGGGGAGTGGAGGGAGCAGTGTGCCCTGTCAGCATAGGCCTCGGTCCTTGGTTCAAATAAAGTTAGGAGAGACTTAAGAAGAGCCTAGAGGGTGGCTGAGCACAGGCTAGTGAAAGACACTAAAGTACCAAAGCTTGGGTGTCACACAGAGGATGGAGGTGACTATGGCTCCAGGGTCCAAGTTGGGAGGTTGAGGACCTGCAGGATGATTGGGGAAACAGGTGGTGTCCAAGATGGCCCAGGTTTCAGTGGTGGCTTCAAAGGGGGGAGGGGGGAGGGAAAAGGGGAAGGGGGAAGGGGGAAGGAGGGAAGGAGGGAGGGTGGGTGTGGGGTCCTAGGAATCCACAGGAGCATATTAAGGGTCTGGGGTCTCAGGGACTTGAATAATTGGCCAGAATTCGGTGGGGATGAAATCTCAGGGTCACCACTCATATGGCAGATTCGATATTGTTGGGTCTGGGGTGCCGAGGAGTCTCAGTCCCAGAGTTAGGCTTTTGGTCGATCGGGAGTTGGCCTGTCAAGGGCCTGGTCTTTTGTAGGTGATGCTGACTCTTGGGGTCTCGAGCCCTCGTGGGTCCGAGGGTCAGGTTCTCAAATTGCCTGGTTGATAGAGGTCCTAGCCTCGGGTCCCGGAGAGGGTGGGGCTCCTGGGTCGGTTCCGCGGGGCTGTGAAGGGGTCCTGCCCTAAGGGCGCGGAGGCCGGGCGGGGAGGGGCGCACTCACCTGCAGGCGGCGCAGGTAGGCTGGTGGCACGTAGCCCGTCTCACCACTGCGCGCCCGCGCTGCCAGCCACCAGTGCGCGCTGCTTCGCTCCAGCACCAGGAAGGTCTCGCCCGCGGCGAACGCCAGCGCGTTGGGCTCCGCCGAGCGGAACGCGTACAGCGCACGGTACATGGGGCTGGGCCGGTCAAGTGCAGGGATGGTGGCAAGGGCTGCGGAGCCACAACGCCAGGCCTGGAACTCCGCGCTGCACCGCCCCGCGCTCGCCCCGCCCCGTGACACATCAAGCATGCGCGCGCGCGCCCGCTGGCCAAAGCCCCGCCCTGGGCTGTAACGTTCCATGCGCTGGAGCGCAGCGCCCCCGCGCGGCCACGAGAGGTGCGGCGGGGCGGGGCTCCAGAGCTTGCTGTCGCCTCTGGTCCCTCCCGACTCCAGGACTCCAGGCCCCTCATCCCCGGACCCCGCACCCTCAATCCTCACCCCGGCCTCGGCTTCATCCGTCTAGCCCTCGGCTCCCTTTCCTCGCTCAAGTCCGAGCGCTGCGTCCAGTCCTACCTCCCGGTGAAAGCGCGCTCCGCTCCCGCCGCCCTAGGGGAGTGGGTCCCATCTACTAACCTCAAGGACGGCGACTTCGAAAAGACGATCTTGCTGATCCGACACTTGGAAGCCCCCGTGGGGCCCGGCTCTCATCCGTGTGTCTAGGCCTCACCACCTCTATTCATTCACCGAGTGCCGATGGTGGCCAGTGGGGAGCAAGGGTGGGGAAAAGAGGGCTACAAAAACAGAAGAAACCAGGCGGGGCTATTCCCTGTCTAAAGACCTCCCATCTTTGCTCCCCACCAGCCACGGCTGGTTTTCTCTATATTGGGTCTTTGCATATTCTGCTCCCTCTAACTGGGACACTTCTCTTCTGTCTCCTTTAGTATTTGTCCGTCAAGCTCCCACCTCTATCACTACCTATCATCTTGCTGTGTTTTATTGCCTTTATAGGATTTTTTTTTTTTTTTTTTTTTTTTTGAGATGGAGTTTCGCTCTTGTTACCCAGGCTGGAGTGCAATGGCGCGATCTCGGCTCACCGCAACCTCCGCCTCCTGGGTTCAAGCAATTCTCCTGCCTCAGCCTCCTGAGTAGCTGGGACTACAGGCACGCACCACCATGCCCAGCTAATGTTTTGTATTTTTAGTAGAGACGGGGTTTCACCATGTTGACCAGAATGGTCTCGATCTCTTGACCTCGTGATCCACCCGCCTCGGCCTCCCAAAGTGCTGGGATTACAGGCTTGAGCCACCGCGCCCGGCTTGCCTTTATAGGATTTAAGATTTCTGATGCCCCTTTCTGAGAGCATACGGAAGGGAGGGCTGGAAGAGGGAGTGGGGTACCACGTGGCCTTAAAAGCCTGTTTGATCCTCCCAGCTTTCCAGTCAGCCCAGACCTCCAGGTATTTGAAATCCTGGTCAGGGAAGAGGCCTTCAGGGTCCTGGAGAGTTGGTGGCTGGGAATGGCCAAGCTACACTCCACAGGAAGCCCGAGCCCACTCCACAAGAAGCAGGGCCGTGGACAGGACCGGGCCAGTGTGTGCAGGTTTTCTACTTTTATTTTTATCTGTATTTATTTTTTGAGACAGTGTCTTGCTCTGTCGTTCAGGCTGAAGTGCAGTGGGATGATCAAGTTCACTGCAGCCTTGATCTTCCAGGCTCAAGTCCCCCAAGTAGCTGGCACTACAGGCATGCACCGCCACACTCAGCTAATTTTTTTTTTTTTTTTTTTTAGTAGAAACAAGGTACTGCTACGTTGCTCTGATAAATTCCCGGACTCAAGCAGTCCTCCCGCCTCAGCCTTCCAGCGTTGGGATCCTGTAATCAGTCTGACCCAGTTGCCTATTTTTATGTCTAGAGTACATAGGAACAGTGCAAGGTTCAGGTGAGGGGTAGAACTGCTGGAAACTGACATCCAGACGGTGCCTTCTCTGCACCAGGTGTCGCTCTGCAGTTTAAATCCTTTCTTGGCCCCTCCTCCTCCTCCCAGAAGCCCTCCTGGGGTAGAGGAGAATCTCAGGGTCTGTGCTGGCTGGTCTCTTTAAGTAGAGACTGGTGTAACTGCAACGGGGCCCAGGGCCGGGCAGGAGTGGTGCCAGGTGGTGTGGCCAAGAGGGCCACCCTACCTACCAAAACACGCCCTTTTAACGTGCCCTCCATCACGTGGGCCCCTTTACAACATAGATCATGGCTGCCAATGGACCAGAGCCTAGAGGCTAGAGACATGAGTATTGGCTCCAGAACGTCTATCATAATAGCCAGCCAATTAGCTGCTGCCAGTGGCATAGAAGGGATTAAAAGCTGGACCCAAGGTTTGGAGCACCTGCTACCTAACTGGCTTAAGTTGCATAGGGCCCATGAGAAGATCTGTGCCAAGTGTTACGTGGTTTGAGACTCTCAGTTGGCACAGATCCCAGAAGAATCTGGCTAAGGTAGGTATATGGGGGGATCCTTTCTGGGTGACCTTCAGCGTGCTAGGCTGGAGACTGCAGACCATGCCAAGAGGCTGTGCTGAATTTAGGATCCATGGGGTAGTGGTGGTGGCCAGAATACTGAACCAGGAAGGTGGTCACAGCATGTGGTGAGGATTCCTAGGGTTGGGAGGGCGACTCCCTGCCCTTGAAAGAATGACAACAGCACTATATACAATAAACAAAAAGATTTGTATTAGGACAGATACACTCGGGGAAGAAAGAGGTATCATCATCAAATGTGGAATGTTGAAGAAATTGTTAAAATAAATAAAGACTCCAAGCGTAGCTGGGGCTGGCTCAGGCTGGGGCTCACAGAGGCCACTGCACATCAGCTCCAGGCTGCAGGAGCCACCACCTGGCCATACTGGCCTCCTCCCTGACGCAGCACAGCTGTGCCAGGGACACAGAGTCTCTCAGGTACTGGAGCAGCTAGCAAGCTCACTCTCCACTCTCCTCACTTATCTCTGTGACAATGTCTATCAGGCTCTGTAGCCCGAAGATATAGCCAGCATCCTGGCCCTCATGCACCACTGTGTCCTCCCCATACAGCCTGCAGGTGGTGTGTGCAAAATCAATCATGCGCACGTCTACAGAGCTGGCGCCGAGGGGTTTGTAGGCATAGGCCCCAGCAGACTCATCAGCTGACTCCTCTGACAGGTCCTCCAAGTCCTCAGCATCTGAGTCCAGGACCACTTCGGGCCGCTCCTTGCCATCATAGATGACCAGCAGAGAGCTTGAGTAGAAGCGGTAGGACTCCTGTCGCTCCAACACCGCCTTGAGTTCAGTCAGCTTCTTGAGCACAGGGCCCAGGAGTTCACGGCGCAGGTACCGCCCATTGTGGAAGAACTGGTAAAGTGCTTCCTTAAAGCCCTGCACCGACAGCTTCCGTCCATGATACTTGTTCATGAACATGAGCTGCCCACTGCCTGCTTGGTACACCTGTAGGAGAGAGACCAGCAAGTCAGGGGCTAAGGGCCATCTCAAACCTTGGATCCTGAGCAGTGGTATGTACATGTGTGGGGGATGTGACAGATCAGATCAAAACTTGTCAAGTACAATAGTCACACATGAGACACTGTCCACTATATTCTCTGATCAGCCCCCACCTGGGATGCAGCCATCCAACCTGGGTTTGGTCATTGTGCCCTGGCACCCCAACATCTGGGTCACTGGATAGGACCTACCCTCTTGCTTTCTTCCCTACTACTATCCAGAAATTCTGGACTCAGTTAATCAACCCAATCTCAGGATCATGAAGGAATGCATGCTTTCTTTTTTAACCAAAAGGCAACAGACTCGTGTCAAATCTGGAATCTTTATTTTCGAAGGAGTCTTGCTCTGTTGCCCAGGCTGGAGTGCAGTAGTGCAATCTCAGCTCACTGCAACCTCCGCCTCCCAGGCTCAATCAATTCTCCTGTCTGGAATTCTCAGACTCTGGATTAGCTAGAATTACAGTACATGCCACCATGCCCAACTAAAATTTTTTTTTTTTTTCTGTTTCTGTTTTTTTTTGAGACGGAGTTTCGCTCTTTTTACCCAGGCTGGAGTGCAATGGCATGATCTCGGCTCACCGCAACCTCTGCCTCCTGGGTTCAAGCAATTCTCCTGTCTCGGCCTCCCGAGTAGCTGGGATTACAGGCACGCACCACCATGCCCGGCTAATTTTTGTATTTTTGGTAGAGACGGGGTTTCACCTTGTTGACCAAGATGGTCTCGATCTCTTGACCTCGTGATCCACCTGCCTCGGCCTCCCAAAGTGCTGGGATTATAGGCGTAAGCCCCCGCGCCTGGCCAAATTTTTGCATATTTTTTTTTGGAAAGACGGGGTTTCACCATGCTGGCCAGGCTGGTCTTGAACTCCTGACCTCATGATCCACCTGCCTTGGCCTCCCAAAGTGCTGGGATTACAGGCGTGAACTACTGTGCCTGGCCCAGAATCTTTATTTAGAGACAGAGTCTGACTCTGTTTCCCAGGATGGAGTGCAATGCTGTGGTTTCGGCTTACTGCAACCTCCGCTTCCTGGGTTCAAGCTGTTCCTGGACCTCAGACTCCCAAGTAGCTAAGATTACAGGTGTACACCAACATGCTCAACTAATTTTTGTATTTTTAGTAGAGACAGAGTTTCGCCATGTTGTCTGGGCTGGTCTCGAACTCCTGACCTCAGGTGATCCACCCGCCTTGACCCCCCAAAGTGCTGGGATTAAAGGTATGAGCCATCAGACTTGGTTTGGAATCTTTTGAGCAAACAGGACTATGCCAGGATGGGGAAGTGACAGCCATTGGATGCCCTAGCCAGCCCTAGCATCCCCCTCACCTGCATGCCACACACACGCACACCAATGACCGCAGATGTGCTCTGCTGACATTTTCGGATTTGATTGGCCGCCTTCTCCTCTGAAGCATCGTCACCATGTTGTCGTGTGCCCATCTTGAGGTCAAGGACACAAGGCACCTCGTAGCGGGAAGTCAGGTTTTCCAGTAAGATAAATTCTGAGTAGTTAAGAAAAATACCCCCAAAAGGAAGTGCTACTGCATGGGTCCTGGGCTCTTCCAGCCTGGGAGACACACAAGCCATTTCCTGAACTCTTAGCTAAGTGTAGGACTAGGGTCCAAAAACAAAGTTCTCAATTACAAGTAGAACATCAAGGAAATTCAGTAAGTCCTGTAGCCTTATATGTGAACTGCAAGTATCAGTATAAACTCATGAAAATACTTTTCTCTTTATTATTTGATTTTATTTTTTGAGATGGAGTCTCCCTCTTTTGCCAGGCTGGAGTGCAATGTTTCGATCTCTTCTGACTACAATCTCTGCCCTCCCCACCTCCGGGTTCAAGTGATTCCCTGCCTCCTGAGTAGCTGGGACCACAGGTGTGCACAACCACACCCAGCTAGTTTTATGTATTTCAGTAGACATGGGGTTTCACTATGTTGGCCAGGATGGTCTTGATCTCCTGACCCTGTGACTGCCCACCTCGGCCTCCCAAAGTGCTGAGATTATAGGCATGAGCTACTGTGTCCAGCCTTCTCTATATTTTATTAATTAATTATTATTATTTTTGAGACGGAGTCTCACTCTCTCGCCAGGGCTGGAGTGCAGTGGCGTGATCTCGGCTCACTGCAACCTCCACCTCTTGCTTTTTTTGTTTTTTGAGACGGAGTTTCACTCTTTTTATGCAGGCTGGAATGCAATGGCGCGATCTCGGCTCACCGCAACCTCTGCCTCCTGGGTTCAGGCAATTCTCCTGCCTCAGCCTACTGAGTAGCTGGGATTACAGGCACGTGCCGCCATGCCCAGCTAATTTTTTGTATTTTTAGTAGAGACGGGGTTTCACCATGTTGACTAGGATGGTCTCGATATCTTGACCATGTGATCCACCCGTCTCGGCCTCCCAAAGTGCTGGGATTACAGGCTTGAGCCACCGCGCCCGGCCCCCGCCTCTTGCTTTCAAACGATTCTCCTGGCTCAGCCTCCCAAGTAGCTGGGATTACAGATGCCCGCCACTATGCCCAGCTACTTTTTGTATTTTTAGTAGAGACAAGGTTCCACCATGTTGGCCAGGCAGGCCTCAAACTCTCAGCCTTGTGATTCACCCGGCTCAGTCTCCCAAAGGGCTGGGATTACAGGCATAAGCCACCACACCCAGCTACTTTTCTCTTTAAAGTAACTCTGCTTCCCAGCTGTGTGTACTAATAAGGTCTAGAAACAATGACCAGAATTAATGAGTGCGTCTAGTGCACAGACCATTGTTTCATCATTTCTCACTCAAGGAACCAGTGCTCCCTAGAGGGGAAACTGGTAAACTATGGCCCACTGCTTGCTGTTGCATGGCCTATAAGCTAGAAATGGTTTTCACATTTTTAAGAGACCAAAAAAATAGACACAGGCTAGGCATGGTGGCTCACGCCTATTATCCCAACATTTTTGGAGGCTGAGGATCACTTGAGCCCAGGAGTTTGAGACCAGCCTGGGCAACATAGTGAAACCTCACCTTTACAAAGGGGAGGGATGGAGAAGGCAGGGGGAGAGGGGGTGGCTCATGGCCTATTATCCAAGCACTTTGGGAGGCCAAAGTAGGTAGATCACCTGAGGTCAGGAGTTTGAGACCAGCCTAGCCAACATGGTGAAACCCTGTCTCCACTAAAAATACAAAAATTAGCCGGGCATTGGGGCAGACACCTGTAATGCCAACTACTAAGGAGGCTGAGGTATGAGAATCACTTGAACTCGGAAGACCAAGGTTGCAGTGAGCCGAGATCACACCACTTGCACTCCAGCCTAGGGAAAAGAGCGAGACTCTTGTCTCCAGAAAAAAGAAGAGAGAGAAAAAAGGAAAGATTTCCTCATGTCCTACTCACGTCCAGTGTCAGTGCCAGTCTGGTGAACCGGGAGTGAAAGGTCAGTCTCCTCACCCAAAAACCCCAGCCCTTTGCAGGTGAGCAATGTTTTGAGACTTCTGAAGAGTCTGAAAACAGGAGGCAGCCCCTTGCCCTCTTCCTCTAGGTTATCTAGGCGAAAGCCCACCTGATGCAAGCTGGCCCCTTCATGAGGCACCCCTCACCTCCCAGAGATCCATGATACCCCACTCCTCATCATCTGCACTCCTAGGCCAGTAGCTGCCCTGAGGGAAGTGAATACTTGCCCATAATTATCAAACAGGGTGTTCTGAAATAACCCAGATAGAAGAAATTCAACCATGACTATAAAAACCCAACCTCTCTCTCCAAGAGCCAAGGGCCTTCCTTGTTTTCTCTCCCCTAACCCTCGATGTAGAGATGCCCATGAACAAAGGATACTGTACTGGTTCCGGTGCTTTGCATTCTCCTTCATTCTCTGTAACTGTTGCTGGTGACATTTCATACTCCAAGGGTTATAGTGTTTAAGCTGGGAACTTATATTCCCCTTTTTCTCTACAGTGTAGTACAAGACTTCAGATTTCTTTAGCCACTCAAATTCTTCTTCTAACTTATGACTATAAAGAGACAAGGACCAATACATCAGTATGTCTTATCAGAATTTCGAAGGCCGAGTTCGGTGGCTCACGCCTGTAATCCCAGCACTTTGGGAGGCCGAGATGGGCAGATCACTTGAGGTCAGGAGTTTGAGACCACCCTGGCCAACATGGTAAAACCGTCTCTACTAAAAATACAAACATTAGCTGAGCATGGTGATGTGCACCTGTAGTACCAGCTACTAAGGAGGTTATGGCAGGAGAATTGCTTGAACCCAGGAGGCGGAGGTTGCAGTGAGCCGAAAATATCATACCACTGCACTCTAGCCTAGGTGACAGAGCAAGTGAGACTCCATCTAAAAATAAAAATAAAAATAAAAAAATAAAAGAAATTCAGGGTTAAAAGAGGCACAAAGAAATTGTCTTTATTTTTTTTAAGACGGAGTTTCACTCTTGTTGCCCAGATTGAAGTGCAGTGGCGCAATCTCAACTCACTACAACCTCCGCCTCCCAGGTTCAAACGATTCTCCTGTCTCAGCCTCCCAAGTACCTGGGATTACAGGAACATGCCACCATATTCGGCTAATTTTTGTATTTTTAGTAGAGAAGGGGTTTCATCATATTGGTTAGGCTGCTCTAGAACTCATGACCTCAGGTGATCCACCCGCCTTAGCCTCTCAAAGTGCTGGGATTACAGGTGTGAGCCACCACACCCGGTGAGAAACTTTCTAGAGTAATGAAAAGTGACTTCTTGATGTGGTGGCGGCTTACCGTGTACATATTTGCCAAAACTCTTTGAGCACTTCAAATGGGTGCATTTTACCGTATGTATACCTCAAGAAAGTTGATTTTAAAAAATAAAATTAGGGGCCAGCCAACTACTATTTTCTACAGCAAAAAGAACCTAATTCCAAGATCAACCCCTGCTCCCCAGCCCCTGTATGTGGAGAGCCTTCATTGCCCTCTTCTAGGAAGTAGTACCACCTAGCCTCCAGTACAAGCAGGTTCCCCCAACTCCAAAATCTGATGACTAGGAAAACAGAAACTCAAATTCCATGGGAATAGGTCATCCTACTGAGCTGCATTATATGTACTTTAATTTATATATACTATTTATATTTTCACAAGCTTTGCCAAGGTGCAGGAGTAGGATGGCCCTGCTTAAGGGGATCACTGAGTTTCGGGGATGCCCAACTGCCCATTTTGTCTTCAACCTGAGGTAAAAGGATGGCTGCTGTCGGTCACTGCTACATCTCCAGTTCACAGCCTGGCACACAGCAGTCATAGAAAAGTGAGTGAATCTCTTACAGAGGCCAGTGCAGCTGTTTATCCAAACTGGCATGATCTCACCAGAGTCAATTACAATAAAAGAGAGGCAGAGCATACCACGTGGGAATTAGCCACTGAATGACAGGGCACCTAGTAAGTCCACTTGAGTCCTTAGCACCAGGAAACTGGGCTGTAACCAAAATCCCCAACCCTCCCACACAGCCAAGGGTTGGCTGCTCAGTCTCCACTCACCTCTTCATTTTCTCCTCTTTCCGGTGCTGGCGCACCCAGTCCTTAGGGGTCTTTTCTGTTTCTAAGACATGATGTTTTTTGTTTGTCGTCCACCTTAGGAGCTTACTTTTTGGTTCACAGTCTGAATTATCTACAATCTCCACAGTTCCATGGTCCCCTTTTAATGGATATGCTATTAGACACAAGTTCCTGTCTTCATCTTCTTCAAAGCGCACAGATACCACACCTGGAAGGGGGTGAGGAGCAGAAAGAACTTTTAATTCCACAGGAAGAAGCCTTGTAAGTAACATGATTGTTAACATTTGTTTTTTTCTTACCCAGTTCCTTAGTCTCTATGTTGCCAGAGGCCCCAAACTCATCTGCAAACTTAACAAATATCAAAACAGCTAGAAAAGATGACACCATACAAGACAAGCAATTAGGGAGCAAACATGGCCGAGAGTCTTCCTCTCTGATGTACCCAACAAGGCAAGAGCCAAAGAATTACAAGACACATTTTTCCATCATTGAAAATGTTTATTAATTTTTATGTAACTCTTCTAATTCTAAAAGACTTAAAACATTGCTCTTTATAGTTTGTGGGAAATTTTAATGCCCTAAACAGAAACTCCAGCAGCCTCAAAGCTTGCTTTAAAGCAGAGCCTGAATACTGGGGAACACAGGTTTGCCTGAGGGTTAAGAACCAAGAATAAGGGAAGACTGGGTAAGCAAAGCAAAATAAAGGGGCAAACAAAACAAACCACACAGCACAAGACACCCTAGCAAAGGTTTCCCATAGTGCCCCCACACGGGGTAGGCACCCAGGCCTTTTTTCCTTATAAAATATGTTTTTATTGGTCTTTGCAATCTCACGTCACAAAAGAACAAAATGATCACAAGGCAGGTAAGAGTTGGTTGGGGAGCACAAACATGTGGTGACCTTGAAAGCAGCTTTCTCCCTTAAGTCTCTAGAACCTGCCATGAGTAATCAGACAGTCTTTGAGGATGGGGCTGTCAGGTGGGGGGCATTTCAGCAGGTGCCGACGAGCGCCTTACAAACGACTGGCTGAACACCTTTCCTCCCAGGCCTCTCTGCCCCAGGATCACTCAATCTGCTCAGTCCTTGCTGCCCGCCCGCTCGACTGCTGCAGGGGAATGCGTGCTCAGAGAGAGACGACACTTCTGAGGTGGCCCCCAGCTCTGGGTGCAGAGGAGCCGGGGTGGGGGATTCAGACCACACTTCCCTGTGGCCACAGGGGAAAGGACCAGGGGAAAAAATGGGATAGGGACGGCCAGCTAACAAGGGACCTTTGGCTTTGTCCTGGAAAAAACAACAGAGAAGGACCAAATGAGGGCCCCCAACTCCCCCATCCCCACCACAATACACATCTTCAGAGTACAGAGACAGGCGCCCAGTACATTCTGTCCTTAAAGACCATGTTTCAACAGTCCCAAGAGAACCTAAGTTGTTCTAGAGTCTTTTATGTAACCAGACAGTGCACATTTAAAATTAATTTCTTTAATGGCTTCTTTCTTGATTTACAAAAGACTCCCCCCTCCCCAACAAAGACCCCACCATGCTGGTGGCTGCTGATGTCACCTATAAAATACATTGCAAAAAGGAACAAAAAATTATATGTGAATCGAAAGGTTGCTTTCCCTTAGCAATTTTGGGGACATTCTGTAACAGCAAAGGGCTTGGGCTAATCAGCACAGGCCTCCCACTCCTGCATTCCATCTGACTCAACCCTGCCCCCCCGGCCTACCTAATCACCCAGGCTTCTGGTTTCCTGGAGGACAAAAAGCAGGCGTCAGGTATTCTGGGTAAAATCCTCCCAAAGTCTTCCCCCACCATCCCCACCATGGGGGACTGTGGGTTACTGTGATCAAGAGACACCTGAACATAAAACCCAACTACACTTCTACCAAAATCAAACTCAAATCCACAAAACAAAACAGAATTGAGCAATCTTACCAGGCTTGAAAACTGAGGGTGTGAGGTGCTGGGCTGAGGGCCAGGAGGAGGAGAAGGAGGAGGAGGAGAGGGAGGAAAAGCACAGAGTGGGAAGGAGTGAGGGCTCCAGGGATGGCTGCCAGGGCCTTCTATGGCCACGATCCCTCACATCTCCTCGCCAGTGTGGCAGCGCCTCCAGCAGCTGGGGCTTACCTTTGTACTGGGGAGTGAATTTGCGCATCTCAGCAGGGAGGGTCTCGTAGAACTGATGTTCCCTTGGGACCAGGGGCTTGCACAGCGTTGTCTCATTGAAGCGGAGCACGCATGAGTGCCCCCCAACCTGGTGGACAAAGGGCTCCAGCAGGACGCCTTTGGCGCGGGGCTCCACATCCATGGCCCTGAAGGCTGGGCTCATCCTCCGGGCGCAGATGGTGGGAAGAAGGGGGAGGCGGCAGGGTCCAGCGGCCAGTACGTCTTCTGTCTGTTGTCTGTCTGTGTGTCCCTCTCGACTTGGTTTCTTGGCTTGCTCTGGCCAGGACACTCTGCTGGAAGCAAACACAAGGATGACATGGGGATTCGAGGTAGCGTAGCAAGTGCCTTAGAGCTGTTCACCCTGCTCCTCCAGCAGAAAGACAAAGACAAACAGTCCGAGCTCTAGCGGGGCTCCGCCCATGCCACCCACTTTGGCCCCGCCTTCTCCAGCAGAAAAACAAAAACACCATGAGCTCATAGGGGCGGGGCTCGATGCTGACAGGCAAGGAATGGGTTCCAGGTGCCCCTAAAAAGGCAGAGGCCCCACTGTGGTGTTAGAAAGCCACTACCATAGGCAAAACTGATGCAATGGTGAGGTGAAATCACAATTTCAAGCCTAATTCCTGGATTAAATCTTACCATTTTCTTTTTTATTTTTTTTAATTTTTTATTTTTTATAAAGATGGGGTTTCATCATGATGGCCAGGCTGGTCTTGAACTCCTGACCTCAGGTGATCTGCCCACCTCGGCCTCCCAAAGTGCTAGGATTACAGGCGTGAGCCACCACGCCCGGCCAGCTCCTCACCCGGCCAAATCTTATCATTTTCCAGTAAGAATGTCAAGCTTAATGGGAATGATGCCCAGGTCTCCTATTAATTGTATTTTTATAAAATGCATTTAAATATAGGGAAAACCTGTTTAATCATTATATAGTAAGACTCATTGTTTACTTGTCCAGGTTGTCTACACACACTGCTCCTGCCCAAGGTGAAAGACAAGCCCCATTAACCTTATTAGCAATGGAGCTTGGGTCCAGCTTTAATGATTAACATCTGTATCTAAAATCAACTGATCAAGGCTGGCTAACTCCATTTAAAAAGATAAGACAGGCCGGGCACGGTGGCTCAAGCCTGTAATCCCAGCACTTTGGGAGGCTGAGGCGGGTGGATCACGAGGTCAAGAGATCGAGACCATCCTGGTCAATATGGTGAAACCCCGTCTCTACTAAAAATACAAAAAATTAGCTGGGCATGGTGGCGCGTGCCTGTAATCCCAGCTACTCAGGAGGCTGAGGCAGGAGAATTGCCTGAACCCAGGAAGCGGAGGTTGCGGTGAGCGGAGATCGAGCCATTGCACTCCAGCCTGGGTAACAAGAGTGAAACTCCATCTCAAAAAAAAAAAAAAAAAAAAAAAAAAGATAAGACAGTGTTCTAGGTCACTGACTATTTTTAGCATTCTAACCTGATCACCAAAAGCCGGAGCACACTTTTACACCAAAGTTGTGCTCTTGGGGCAATCAGGCTCGAATCCACTCACAAAGCCATGCACTGGATGCATCATCAGCAAAGAACATCTCTGTATGCACCGTTAACTGGTACAGGGCATGCTGCACTCGTTCTGTGTTTGGTCTAATTTATGCAGTCTCTACTAGCATTTCTTAGAGGGCTTGAGTTACATTTCAGTATCTGTACAGGGATTTTATTGGGAACTCCTTCAGTTCCCATGATTCCAACTGAGAGAGGAGGAGTGAGGATGGATCTGGACGAGATGTGCCCTCTGTCCTCTATGTGGAGAAATGACCTATTATGTATCAGGCTTATTACAGGAATTTCTTACGCCATTTGGTCCTCACGATACTTTCTTTGAGGTAGACACTACTCTCCCTACTGCAAACAATGAAGCTGATTAGAGAAGATTAGGAAACTCACCCAGGGCCAGGGACAATAAGCCACATCTCCCAAATGAACCCACACAGCTGCCTCTAGGGCTCATGATCTCTGGCACTGCCCAGCTTAATTTTTTTTTTTTTTTTGAGACGGAGTTTCGCTCTTGTTACCCAGGCTGGAGTGCAATGGCGCAATCTCGGCTCACCGCAACCTCCGCCTCCTGGGCTCAGGCAATTCTCCTGCCTCAGCCTCCCGAGTAGCTGGGATTACAGGCACGTGCCACCATGCCCAGCTAATTTTTTTTTGCACTTTTAGTAGAGACGGGGTTTCACCATGTTGACCAGGATGGTCTCGATCTCTCAACCTCGTGATCCACCCGCCTCGGCCTCCCAAAGTGCTGGGATTACAGGCTTGAGCCACCGCGCCCGGCCCAGCCCAGCTTAATTTTTACTTTTTTTTTGAGATGGGGTCTTGCTCTGTCGCCCAAGCTGAAGTGCAATCTCACTCACTGCAACCTCTGCCTCCCAGGCTCATGCGATTCTCCTGCCGCAGCCTCCCAAGTAGCTGGGACTATAGGTGCCCATCACCACGCCTGACCAATATTTTTCTGTATTTTTGGTAGAGATGGGATTTCACCATGTTGGCCAGACTTGTCTTGAACTCTTAACCTCAGGAGATCCACCCACCTTGGCCTCCTTAAAGTGCTAGGATTACAGGCACGAGCCACTGCACCTGGCCAATTTTTATTTTACTTTTTTTTTTTTTTCTTTAAAGTAAACAGGGTCTCATTCTGTTGCCCAGGCTAGAGTGCAATGACAGGATCATAGCTCACTATACCCTCAAACTCCTGGGCTCAAGGGATACTCATGCCTCAGCCTCCCAACCAGCTAGGACTACAGGCACATGCCACCACACCTAGTTAATATTTTTTATTTATAAAGTAGCTTCTTTTAAAGAGTGTACACTGGTGTTAATCTCTTCCTTTCAGAGAGTGCCTGACTGTGGGCCTCAACTGACCTCAAGGGCTAGGAATCAATAAGTTTTCCCATATGCAAAGAGCAGACAATCTAAACCTAAGGTTCTCATCGCTTGGTACTACCTTCTCATCACCACAAAAGCCTCCAGGACGGCATATATTGAGAAGAGTCCAGAAACTGAACACAGGCAATGGGACTGTAAATATGAGTACATTCTAGCCATTCCTGGCTCTATCCCCAAGATGGAGCTCTGAAAAGTCTGGCCACAAAAGCCTTTTCTCCAGACTGGTTGACACTAGTCTGCTGAAAAGACCTTTTGAATAAGAGTAATACCAAAAGAAGCTACTGGTTCATGGTCCACCGGCCAGTACCAAAGCACATGTCAGACACCGTATTATAAAACTGTTAAAGCACAAGATGCTCCTCATGGGCGAGGCCTTAGAAACACAATCCAGGCCAGGTATGGTGGCTCCTGCTTAGAATCCCAGCACTCTTGCAAAATATCGGTGCACTGCACATAATAAGGTAAGTCCTATTTTATGATCCTTTTGTTTCAATTATATTCAAACTCTCAATATGAACATAAGTATGGCTTCACTATAAAACATACTTCTCACATTTGGAGTTGCAAATAAGCGGAGCTTCTGTTCTAGGGTCCCTCACAGCCCCTATCTCTGCAAGAAAATGAAGGATCAATTTTCCAAAGATTACAAAGCAAATCAGCTTCCTCAGTAGGGGCTTCAACTACACCAGAAGAAAGAAAAGCCAACTATACCAGATGCGCCAATCTCCATGTTACCTGTCTGTCTGTCTGTCTGTCTCTCGGTGTCTCTCTCTCTCTCTCTCTCTCTCTCTCTCTTTCTGCAGTGCGACCTCTAGGGTCTAAAGCTCAGTTTCCCTGGAAGGCTAGAAAATTAACGGTTACCGGCCGGGCTCGGTGGCTCAAGCCTGTAATCCCAGCACTTTGGGAGGCTGAGGCGGGTGGATCACGAGGTCAAGAGATCGAGACCATCCTGGTCAACATGGTGAAACCCCATCTCTACGAAAAATACAAAAAAAATTAGCTGGGCATGGTGGCGCATGCCTGTAATCCCAGCTACTCAGGAGGCTGAGGCAGGAGAATTGCCTGAATTCGGGAGGCAGAGGTTGCGGTGAGCCGAGATTGCGCCACTGCACTCCAGCCTGGGTAACAAGAGCGAAACTCCATCTCAAAAAAAAAAAAAAAAAAATACAAAAATTAGCCGGGCGTGACGGCATGTGCCTGTAATTCCAGCTACTCAGGAGGCTTGAGGTGGGAGAACTGCTTGAACCAGGGAGGCAGAGGTTGCAGTGAGCTGAGATCATGCCAGTGCACTCCAGCCTGGGTGACAGAGCAAGACTCCAACTAAAAAACTAAAAACTAAAAATAAACAAAAATTTAAATTTAAAAAAAGAGAAAACAAAAATAAAAATAAAAGATAAAAACTATCCCCATCTTTTGCAGGCAAAGTAAAGAGAGGTCATGAGTTAGTCTTGAGTATATACAGAAGGCCTCTTGAGCAATGAGCCTGCCAGTCCAGCCTTAAAGTGTGACAGCACAATGCCAAAAGAAAACCATTCCTGGCCAGGCACGGTGGCTCATGCCTGTAATCCCAACACTTTGGGAGGCCCAGGCAGGCAGATCACCTGAGGCTGGGAGTTCAAGACCAGCCTAATCAACATGGAGAAACCCCATCTCTACTAAAAATACAGAATTAGCCAGACGTAGTGTTGCATGCCTATAATCCCAGCTACTCAGGAGGCTGAGGCAGGAGAATCACTTGAACTCAGGCAGCAGAGGTTGCGGTGAGTCAAGATCATGCCATTGCACTCCAGCTTGGGCAATGAAAGCAAAACTCCATCTCAAAAAAAAAAAAGAAAAAGAAAAGAAAAACTATTCCCTCAACTTGAACTTTCAAGGAAGGTGTCAACAAATGAGGTACAATCCCTGGTGACAAAATGAATATGCAAAAAGGAGTAAGGCCAGATGTAATCCTAGCACTTTGGGAGGCCAGGGCAGAATTGCTTAAGCCTAAGAGCTTGAGGCCAGCCTGGGCAACACAGCAAGACCCCCATCTCTACAATAAATTAAAAATAAATAGCAGGGCATGGTGGTGCCTGCTTATAGTCTTAGCTATTCAGGAAGCTGAGGTGGATCACTTGAGCCCAGGAGTTTAGAGATACAGCAAGCTACTATCATACCACTGCACTCCAGCCTAGGTGACAGAGCAAGATCCTGACTCAAAGAAAAAAACAAACAATAAAAAACTAAAAACATTTTTAGTAAAATAAACTCAGGAAGAAAACAGTCAATGTCTGACTCTGAAAGGATGTCTTGTGGGAACACCAAATTGACCTGTCTGGGTACCATCAACTACAATCACACTACTATCAACCTCAGGAAAACTC